GCCCATGAACTGCTGCTATATTCTTTCCCTTCACGTTTTTCTTTTCACTACGTCAAGTTATCGTGGACTTCCAACACCTCCCCCATCTTGTCTAATGCCTTCAGAGAAGCAGCTACCTGCTCTGAAATCACGGCGCTTCTTTGCAGCGCTTCTTTGCCGTCTCTCCAACCAGGCTGTCTAAGCCCTACTTGCCCAAAAAGAAAGTTGTACATTCCTCACGTGAGGGAGCTCTTCTATGACTTCACTGGGTACATGTGAATTGTCAATATACAGCCTTTGCACTGAGAGTTTTGTATGTATTCAAGTCAGTAACTGAGAGATTATCCTTGCTGGTTTTCTGAGGTGGCATTCCCAACTGCTCTTGTTACCCCACTGAGCAAATGGACTAACAGAATCACTATTCCTGATCCAGACAATCTTTATGAAAATTCTCACTTTTCTGATGAAAAGTTAAAGACCCTCTTTGCTTTGAGCTGAAAGTAAAGTCCAGAAGTGATGTGGCCAGTTTACAGTTAAACCTCATTTATCTCTTCGGGGCCATTGCATTGTCATTGTATATAATACTGTTAGAATTGCTTTGGCACATCTGTGAACTTGCACTAGGGAAATGTGTTTCACGGAGACTTGCGTAGGAAATGTTTATCTCAGTTTTTACTGAGTAGCGCAGACGTGAAACACAGCGTCTATAAAACGAAGCACTCGCCCTTTCAGACCCCAATATCTGGTTCAGATAGATAGAATATTCAGTGGAGGTGAAACCTGGGATGTAACAGCAACACGAGCTGGGTGTATTCCTTTGGACAAGAGAAAAGAGCCTAAAGCTGATGAATGGTGAGATTTAATTTGTGCAGCTATAAGCATGAGAGCTTTTTGGCCAGAAGGTGAGTGGTGCAAGTACTTCTAAACTGTAAGGAGATGGAAGCGTTTTCAGGATTTGTGAGGTTTTACATTGCAACTTTATATTTTTATTTCTGTATTATCACAGAGTAGTTCAGTTTGGAAGGGACCTCTGGAGATCATCTGGTCCAACCCCCACAGCTCAAGCAGAGCCACCTAGAACTGGCTGCCCAGGACCATGTCCAGATGGTTTTTGAATATCTCCAATAAGGAGGCTCCACAACCATATTGGACAACCTGTGCCCGTGCTTGGTGAGCCTCACAGTAAAAAAGTGTTTCCTTCTGTTCAGAGGGAACTTCCTGTGCTTACGTTCATGCCCATTGCCTCTTGTCCCGTCCCTGGGCACCTCTGAAAAGAGCCTGGCTCCATCTTCTTGGCAGCATCCCTTCAGGTTTTTATATATATTAAGAAGATCCCCCCTGAGCCTTCTCTTCTCTAGGCTGAACAGTCCCAACTCTCTCAGCCTTTTGTCGTATGTCAAATGCTCCATAACTTAAATCATCCCTGCCCTCTTGCTGGTCTCTCCCCACTATGTCCATGTCTCTTTTGACCTGGGGAACACAGAGCTGGACCCAGCACTCCAGATGTGGGCTCACCAGTGCAGAGCAGGTCCCTTGACCTGCTGGCAACACTCTTCCTCATGCCGCCCAGGAGCGATGTGCGCCTTTGTGTTGGACTGCCATATAAAAAAGGTAGATAGATTTATCCTGTGAAAATAGCCACAATGCAGACTTATAGCTAATGTCCATTTAATTGTGCAGCTGTATATTTTGTACCTCAAGAACTAGGGTACATGCTTATTGGCTCGGTAGGAGTTTATTTTAGCGAGACAAGGTAGTAATGTGGTGCCTCCAATCCATCTTCATATCTGCAGGCTCAGAGCTTTCTGGTCCTGCATCAGGCACGAAGGGGGTTTCCTCCATTCAGTGGGCACCACGCCAGAGGCAAGGGATAGGGGTCTAGCTCCAGGGCCTGGAGAAGAAGCCATCAAACAAGATAGACACCTGCAGATTCCCTGTAAATTTCTCCCCTCTCCCTAAAAATCAAAAAAGCCACAGCCAACAAAAATAGGAGGTCATGGGGACACCACAACATCTGAGACTTCTTGAGCAAATACGGAATTTAAATGTCTTAGGTGCGCTATCTGTAAATCATTTTGTCCTGTCTTCCTCCCTGCTTAAGCATGTTTTTTGTGACAGCAATGGTGTTGGAGCCCTCAGAGCGTGGATTTCATAGCAAGCAAAGTCAGGGAAGGCTGGGAGAATCAAGGTATCGCGCAAAAGGCAACAGTATTCCCGTGGACAGCCCGTTCCTCTGTTGGAACATCCCTCTTTCCTGAGACACATGTACACACAAATTTTAGGAGTTCTTTGAAGTCAGAGGACAAACTCACATCTTCTGCCAAAGAAGACAAACCCAGCTCCATGCCTTTCCCGAGGGAAAAAGAAGGAATTTACAAAATGAGACACACAGAGTTTAACCAGCCTTATGCAGGTTATCATCACAGAGGGGAGAACGTATCCTCCAGTCAGGACTTCTGGATTTAGTTCGCATAAACAAACCTCAGGGGGTGAGTGGGTGAGGGAGTCAAGTGAAAAATACCAAGAACAAAGGTGAAATTTTACATTTCTGTGGCTGCTGAGTATGCTTCCAGTTCAGTGGTGCTGGCCGAGCTGATGCCCACCTTCAGGGGCAGCACTGGAAAAAGACAGTCAGCTGGAGGTGAAAGGTTTTGTGTGTGCTGGACTTGCAGTTCTGACGAGTCATTACTAAAGAGTAACTAGTGCCAAAATGTGAGACAAGATCTTTGTACAACTGCTGCTGAAGTGGATCCACTTCCCCAGTCATCTATCCTACATTCCAGTTGAACCTCCAGCCAAAATTCGTGAGGCAAATTTCATTACGCTAGTGGTGCCCAACCTGGAGTTGACGTTCCGTTGTAGTCATGATGGTGGGATGGAGAGGAGGCTGAAAGATGAATTAATAACACTCCATTATGATGAAATATCAAAGTGTGTTGGAAGATCTTGTGTTGTATAATTGCATATTCAAAAGAATTTAAATTCTTGCTTCAGCCCTTAGTGAACCTGAGACAGCAACAATGATGGGAAAAACCTCCCTTAAAAATCCCAAGAATCATACTTGTTTTGGCATGACACTGCCTAAGGTGATTTGCAAACAAAGATGACTTTGCCAAGCTTTCACGTTAACGCAAGGTTCAGCATACATTTTAAAACATTAAATAAACTTTCCATTTGCATAGATAGGACTATTTGATTGTGTAGATTTTGTTACTTTAAAGGGCCACAATATTCTAATGCTGAAGCCAGGATTAAGTACCCGAAATAACCGTATGATGGAAGTTTTTGAGCAGTGATTAAAAAAAATGACTACCTTGTCATATTGTTTGACTTTTGGAAGAAGGTGCACGTGAGGGCACCCTCAGCAAGTCTGCTGACAACTCCGGGCCCAGTGGTGCGGTCGACACACCGGAGGGAAGGGCTATCATCCAGAGGGTTGGTACGACATGACCTGAATGGCAGCAAACGTAGAGATTAAATGCATGTGCAGTCCCTCAGGTATGGCCAGCATGTCTTCCAGTTACTGCTCTTCCCTTTTCCTTGGTGGCACAGATTCCTGCAGAGATGATAGTTATGTCTAGCTGAGAAACGTCACAGCTCTGGGTCTACTGCATTTGGTGTGCACCCGCAAGGTCAGCAGTGGCGTGGAGCTCTGTGTACGGGAGAGCGTCGAGATGTAAAGCGCCATTTTTCAGAGTTAATTCATGGTCAGCAAAAGGAGATCCAGATCCTACGCCTGCTCCTGTGTGTATGTGGTGTGAGGGGAAGGACTGGAGCTCCTTGTGCTCCCAGAGTAGATGGGAGAGGTCTTCTCCTATGAAGAGCAACTCTGGAATTAAGTCTTTGGCTCTCACTGCCAAAGGACCTGGATCAGACGGAAGAAAAGGAGTTTGCAGAGGAACTGGGGTTTCTTCATAGCCACAGGCTGCCAGTGAAAACATGGGGATGTGCCTCGTTTGTCCAGTCACCGGGTTGCATCTGAGCAGTTTTAGAAACTGTACGTTTGTGGCACAGTCTGTACCACGAGAGGTAGCGAGTTAGCATCTCAGTTTGCAGCGCGTCTGAACCGCCTTTCGTGGAGTAATCTACCATCTGGTGAACCAAAATGGTACGCAGCGTCTCGATCCTGACTGGTTCCTTAATCATCTGGCGGCTGTCTCTTGGAATATCCTCGGAGCTTAAACGTACCGTTGCACTGTGGATCCCACCTCGCTGGATTCAACTGGAAATGGCAACACAGCTGTGCAGTCAGACAAGTCTGAATTTTGGATTTTACCTAGGCACTATGGGGTGATAGTATTTTATAAATGATGAGTGAAAATATTGTAAATTGCACTTTGAAAAGAAAGTGTGTATCACTCTCTGAAAATATTTGTAGTCGCTGTGTTTTAAGAAAGCCTTTGGACATTCAGACTATTAATTTGTTTCTTTCCTGAACGTATCTTTATTTATGCAGCAGAAGTATTCTTCTCCTTCAAGGTAAATTCTGTGCTGTTTCACACCCCATTCTTTACAGACCTTCATAAATCCATTGTCATTTATTTGACCACTTAAACCTAGGAGCACATTTCCAATATACAACATAAAGGAAATTTAATTTCGATTTTATAACCATAATAATTCATCTCTAATTTTATTATGTTTTAATGAACTGCATGACATTCACTCTGGTGTTGTCTCTCTAAAAGCTATTCAAGTGTGTTCTTTATAGTGAAAACTATTGTGTTAATGATATAAGTCGTAGGAAAGTATTAGCTGAAAGTTATTTCATTCATGTCAAAGGATGCAATTAAATTTTCAGAAGTAGCGTATTCAAAAATATGGCTCATCTGTCCCCTTTTTTATCACTTTTAGTAGAAACTTGAGAGGTACACTTACAGACTGGATAAAACACGGAGGCAGAAGTGAGGTCTTGTGAAAAATAAAGTTTTCACCCTGCACTGGCAGCTGTCAATGACAAATATAAATTCACATTAATATAAAGCAAATTCCATCCTAAAAATATTTCTTTATTCTTTCAGACCACTCTTCCGTGGAAACTCAGATGTTGATCAGCTAGGAAAAATCTTTGAGTAAGTAACAACTAGTTGCATTATGTCGATACCTGTTTAACATTGAAGCACTGCAAGATTTCTTTGCCATGTTTTTGTGCAATAATGTGACTAGAACGAAGTATTCACAGAACATATTTCCTATTGCTGCCGTATGCAACGTGATATTTCCGTGTATTCTGTGTCAGAGTGGGAGGAGGAAGCACCATGGAATATAGTTCTGCAGAACTAGCAGCCATCATCAGGAAGTTGTGAGACAGTTCTGTTTCGGGCTTTTCAAATCGCTTAAACGTACGGTGCATTACCAGTCAGGCGTGTTCCTGAGCAGCTCCAAGAGATTCCCTTCATGCAAACAAACGCAGGGGTTCTGTTGTTCAGTAATTCTCTGTGTGTTTCAGAAAACATTAAAGTACTTAAAAATTGTTATTCAACTGAAATGTCTAAGATGATTACCAATAGTTTCTTTGCAGAAAAGACTTCTGTATGCATGAAAATATTTTAGCTTTTAAAATACACTGTGTAGGCTGTTAAAATGATTAACAGTCCATGTTTTGGTCAGGAAGGTAGCGGTGAGAACAGAAGGAATATCAGCGGTTTAATGTGTGTTTAGTCAGAGAACTAAGAGGCTTCATTTTAAAACCATTTTACAATTCTAGAAGTACTTTCTTCTACAGATATATCAAATACATTGAGGAGGTTGGGAGGATCTAAACTCTTTGAGGTAGAATAATGCTCTCCCAAAAATTCGCAATTGATATTACTGATACGATAATTAAGTAGGATTATGCTTCCTTGTAAAAGCTCTTCAGAGCGAGGTATGTTTCTAAATTGATAAGACCTGTACAAATTGAAGCTCTCGATTTGCGTATCGTGGAGTGAGGATCTCAGAGCCACGTAGGGCTTTGCCTCTGCATTTGCCTCTGCACCTCTTTCCTGCCCTTTTGTGGAGGGGGCTGCAGGGATCTGCACGAAATGAGAAAAAGATAGCAGAGAGAGAGAGAGAAGGCTGATAGACTGTTCTCTTGAGGATATCTCAAGGAGAAGATAGTAAAATTTCTAAGGAAAAGAGTTTGTACAGAACAAATAATGCATTTTCTGTTTCACCGTTTTTTGCTGTTCCCAAACCATAACAGAGCTGTTTCTAAGCATTTACATCATTTAATATGAGGTTCCTAAATTGCAGGTCTTGATTTCACCCAGTTGACTTCCCTTTCCTGCATACCATACCAGCGTGTGTGACTCACTCGCGTGGTTAATTTGTCATGCGCTGAGTAGCTCTTCCTGCCCAATCCAGAAAAATCTGTCCTTAAAGTTTACTTTTTCTTCTTCTGCCAGAGGTACTCCTTTACTCCTACAGTGTTCTGCTTTATTAAATGAAGACAGTTTTGATATGTACAGCGTATTTCATAATTTAAAAAAGACAAAGACTTAGCTGTGATTTTTAAAAAGTTTTTGATTTGTTTATGACTTTTAAGGGGAAAAATGAAGTTGAACTGGGCTACCGTGAATTGCATAGCTGCTAGCAGCAGCCTCCAACAGGGATCTTTCCATCCCTAGGGGCCGAGATTACCTGTGTAGAAAAGAATTCATCAAGAAGAGAAAATGCCATGCTGATTTTAGAAGAAATTCCTTATTATGTATCTACTTAAAAAGAAAGTTTGGATTTGCTTCTTTTCTGCAGTTCTCCTTAAATAGTTCAGAAGTTTCTTTCTTGGGTTCCGGGAGGAGGGAGTTATGCTAAATGCTATTTATTTTGTGTTTTCACAGCTGGAGAACCCCCTACAGTTAGGCATAGTCTTCTTATAGGAGGATCGTTTCTTTCTACAGTAGTGACTGAATCATTCTTGCACAGAGTAGCTTCAAGATTTTCATGCAATCTGGACTGATGCCTTTTTTTCAAATAATGGGGCTTTGCTTTGCACGTGCATTCTGATTTGTGTCAGGTAAAGTTGCACTGTGCGAAGGTCAGTTCCTCAGAGGTGGCCCAAGACAATTTCCTGCTGTTGCAGCACCTGCTCAGCACGTGGGATTCGTTTGCGGGTTTCAGTGGTTTGGGCAGACTCGGCTCCCACTGTGATCAACGGGAGCGCAAAGTGCTCGGCGCTTCTCAAGACCGGGCCTGAACTTTTGGCAGGAGGTGAAGCTCCCGCCAGGTACTCCATCCTTAGTCGCAGGGATGGCAGTGCCACCAGCGCAGCGAGGGCGTCTGCTCAGGGGTTGGGGTGCCACATGAGTTTCATAGAACCATAGAACAATTCAGGTTGGAAAAGACCCTTGGGATCATCGAGTCCAACCATTAACCCTACACTACAAGGTCACCCCTAAACCAGATCACCCAACACCACATCTAAGTGACACTTGAACACATCCAGGGATGGCGACTCAACCCCCTCCCTAGGCAGTCTGTTACAGGGTCTGACCACTCTTTCTGTAAAGAATTTCTTCCTAATGTCCAGCCTAAACCTGCCCTGTTGCAACTTGCAACCATTCCCCCTGGTTCTGTCCCTGATTCCCTGTGAGAAGAGACCAGCACCAACCTCTCTACAATGTCCTTTCAAGTAACTGTAGAGCATGATGAGATCCCCCCTCAGCCTCCTCTTCGTCAAAGAGTTTGTGACTAGGCATGTCTTTCCTTTCTGCTCTCAGGCTTGTCCCCCTTGCTACCTGTCTGGCAGACTGCTTCCTCCGTACTTTGTATTAGCTTCTGTGCTGGCCTTGCTCTCGCGTGCAATATTCACAAAAACTGGGGAGTGACCAAACACGTTGGAATGGCATCAAAGTATTTAGCTCCCCCATCTTCCTGCAGGGCTGTTCATGTTTTATACTGTGGGTCCAGATCCTCAACCAGCTAATCACACGGCTTTAGCCACCGTGGCCAAGGGACGAGCCCCGTACCCTCACCCTACCTGTGGTGATAAAAGTCAAATTTTTCATGCAGAATTAACTTAGCACTTTCAACGAGCTGTGGTATCTTCTGAGGTAGTAAAATGAAATGGTCTGGGGGTTTTAATTGCTTTGCCCTTCTAGCCGTGCTGATAGGCACATCCTGATTCTCCGAGGTGGAGCCATTCCACCAGGTTGGCAGAGGCACCGGCCAACTGACCCCACGTGCTTGGCCTCCGGCCTGCTCGCCGGCCTCAGGCAGAGGACAGGTCGCTGCTGCTCCCTGGTGGCTCTGTGCTTGGTGCAGCCCCCATTTTTTCATGGTCCTTCTTGCCTTACCCTGTCAGCTTTTCCATGAAAAATCTCAATTTTACAGGCTGTAAAAATTGAGTTTCCCTGAGCCCTGACAGGTCATGTATGGTGTTTCCCAGAATTCCCACCAGAACCTGGCGATTCAGTCCCACAAACACTGGCATCCGACTATGGCACGAAATGTTTGAGACGTGACTGGGGACTTACCTGTAATTTCCTTTAGTTGAGTAAACCTCAGCGTGATTATTTAAAAAGTGCAAATATCTCCTAGGATATAAAGAATAAGGAAATAAATTCCAGAAAAGAAACTAAAATATTATATTAAAGGGTGAACAAAAACTAAAATACAATTACAAATAAAAACATAAGCACGCTCAAGTCTTATGCAATTTCTGAACTGATACTTTAAAACCTTTGTTGTGAAGCAAATCAACTGTTAAGTTTGGGCAAAAATTACTGCACATAGCTTTGAAGCATTATGAAACTTCCCTTTTATTGCCTTACCCTCATCTTGACCCACACTCCTCTCTCAGTCCCTATTCTTCTGGCTAAAGATCCTTGCATGCAATTCCCCTTTGAAAGTTACTGCTTTTAATCATCCCGGAGCCACATATGTTGCACCATCCAGTCAAGAGCCGAACAACTTTCTTCCAAAGCACTTGGCCCCTTTTTCAACAAAAATGAGACCTAGGCCAGAAGACTGGGCTGGCCACCGAGAGATTTCTGCCCGACACAGCGAGGACCTGCACTCAGCAGCTGCAGAGATCAGTGTGTGCTGTACAACTGAGCTCATTCAAAGACTCCTAAACTGCCACTCTCTGTAATCAATAGAGAGGAGACCACATAAATCTTCAGACATAATGTTATGTTTTTCCTCTCACAGTGTGATTGGACTTCCAGAAGAAGAGGACTGGCCTAATGATGTTGCCCTTCCAAGAAATGCTTTCACTTCCAGACCTGCACAACCCATTGAAAAGTTTGTACCAGATATCGATGAACTGGGCAAAGACTTGCTTCTGGTGAGTTTCTATTTGTTGTTCTCCAAGCCACCTGACTGATAGTTCCCTCTGTGCAACATGCCAAGAAATATTTGTGTTTCTGTTGGTTGTAGTTATTAAGGAAAGCTCAAAAGCAGGTAGACAAACTCATGCAGACCTGTGACTTATTGGCACAGAGACACCACCTTTGGCTGCAGAGGTGTCAGAGCTGAGAATAGTCAGAGTAGGAAACTGTGTTTGACCTGTCATTACACCTTGTGCTTAGATCCTCACTACTGACCATCACTGGGCCCCTGATGCAGCCGTTCTTACACTGTAAGCCTGACGTGAGTACAAAAGCTGATCTACTTTTTTCATGGTATAGTGGACGCAGCATAAAGCAGAAGATCGGCTGTAGAGGCAGATTGCAGCTGCACGCCTTCTACTGAGTGCTGAAAACTTGAAATTTGGAATCCACCAGTTGTTGCCTCTTACAAATGACAGGACTGAAGAGAAGCATGTTGTAGTGGTACATCTGGTAGCACTGAATGCAATTAAATTGTTTCCACCTTTTTTCATGTTATAAACCCCATCTTTTGAGTTCAGTCTTGGAATGAAATATAGGGAATGGCCTTGCCTCAGTTTGCCTTTTGCTATGCTTGTTGAAGTCTGGCTAAATTTGTACCCTGGGAGCCTGTAAAAGTTCTCAGTTCCCATGGGCTTAGTAGAGTGGGCTCAGTGGGCTGCATCCCTTCAGGAACTGGCATCTCTGGGCCAGCGTTATCTCTGCAGAAGAGCAGATTGTCCTCCGTTGTCCTTCTGACTGCAGCTCCCAGCTGTGGCAAGCTGGACTGCATCTGGACATGGAATGGCATGGAAAAGCACACCCCCTGTGCTTGCAGGCAGCCTGGAAATGGAAGCTAGACGTGGGACAGGAATTAGATTCTGGGAACAGCAAGGAATAAAATAGGACAGGTTGCTGAGTGAGTGTGAGGCTTGGTGGGAGGGAGGAAGATGACAAATATCTATGCCTAGAAGGTGAGGTGGAAAGGGAAGCTGCTCCTGTTAGGCAGAGATGAGAACTGTGAGCCACAGATGAAAGGGGGGACTAGGACTGGAAGTCACTGAATTAAATTTCGGAAGTTAAATGATAGATATTCTGATACAAGAAAAGAAAGCAGGAGTAGGAAGTGGTTAGACGAAGATAGTAGGAAGAATGCCGTTTGGAGGTGAATAAAGGAAAAGAGAAGAAGGTTGAAAGCGGAAGACTTCAGTGCTGGCTGGACAAAGGCTGGGATAAGGATCTGGAAAGAAGGCAATCAAAGTACAACTAGGAAGAAGAGGGAGAAACTGAACACAAAGCATTAGCATACGAAGGCTATAAAATCAAAGACCCAACACCCATAGAAATGCTGAGCCTAGGAACAAACACACACCTTACAATGCCATCCGTGTTTGTATAACCCCAAAAAAACAGCATGTTGAACACCGAGGAGAATCAAACGTTGTTCGTGAATAGTAACTCCCTGCCATCTTTCCGACAGATGTCTTGTGCATGTGAATTCAAGAAAACCTGAATTCTGGAGTTTCCTAAACTATGAATACCTGAATTTTCTGACTTGTTGGTTCCTATTAGCTTTGGGGATGCCGTATTCATATACTATGGCCCCACTGCTTGTTTTTATATGATCGTCATCTTATCGTGCAGCACCTACTGAGACCCTGCTGTGTCTCGTACTGATCAACACCGGCAGGTGACATGCATTAATGTGTATGCAATGTTAGTACTGTTAACTGCACATTTGAGTTAAAACCAACTTCTTTTCATACCCACAGAAATGCTTAGCGTTCAATCCAGCCAAGAGAATATCTGCCTATGTTGCCCTCTCTCACCCATATTTCCATGATCTGGAGAAATGCAAGGAGAATCTGGACTCTCACATGTCATCCAGCCAGAACTCCAGTGAGGTGAACGCATCCTAATGCTGACTGAAGACGAACCACACATGAACAAGACGTGTAGCTGACAAGGCCACTGTCCCCTCCAAACCACATAGCTGTTCTAGCGAAGATCATTATCTGGAGGTTTTATGCACTTTTCTTTCATTCTGGGATTATGACGTGCTTGTCCAAGAAAATCAATCTAGTTTACTTTCATCAGAGCAAGGGCTTTGACCTGCTCCCATTGCAGCTTTGTGTTTGTTTTGGTTCTGTTTTGTTTATCTACCTGGGAAGACTCCAGACGAAGAGAAGCTGCTGCTGACCAGTTTTGCTGCCATTTTGTCCTTTTCACATTGAACGCTGCCAGTGTGGAGTAGGATGATCAAGGCGCCGCCAAAACATGATGCAATCTCTCTCTCTAGCTGCTGAAGCATGATTTGGTACTTTTTTATTATTATTATTATTATGGGATCTCTTACAATGATATTTAAAGAATGGCATTGAAATATCAGGTCTTTGCAACCTGCAGTTAACTGATACATGCATTAATACATCCAGCTACTGTTCAGTCACAGCATATATGCAGCTGCTTCCCCACTTGTAAACCTGGGTGGATTATTTTATCGTTTCATTGGTCTATAAAAATAACAGTGATGATGGTGATTGTAATAAAAGTCTCAACATTTAGGTTTTTTCATACACAAGTGAGTTATCTAGCTATGTTTGTGTGCATGTTGCAAAAAACAAGTGTTTTAAAAAACTTGTAGAATCCTGTTCTTAAAGACTCTTTCAGTTTCCACATGGTCAGCCTGTATTGAAATCCAGGCACGTTGTAGCCCATCATCTAACCCGTCATTCCTCCTGAGAAACAGCTGCCAGCACATGTTCTTTATCTCGTTGCAGTTTTTCTGATATGCAGCTCAAAGATATGAGCAGAGCCAGTGAAAATCAATACAGATTTTCACCTTCAACCTGTTGCGGTTATCAGCCAAAAAGGAAAATAGAAAATATATTTCCAGTTCTGAAGCAGAGAATCCAGTGCCTGTAATAAGCACAAAAATCTGTTTGTGCTGAATTGTGTGCTGCATACTGTGCTGCCTTACCTGCAACAGCCCCCCTGTGTCACAAGGGCATGAACATCGCCGATGCAAAGTCCCTCAGATGTCATTTATTAAGCAGATTTGTTTTCTGTGCAGAAATGCAGGAGCTTCTCTCCTAAACCACTGTGTGGGTACACCGGCACGTGCTTCTCCACCAGCGTTAACGTGCTGTTATGGAATGTCAAAATTACTAAGCAATTCACATGCCTTTATAGCACAGTTATTTTTAATATTACATTAAATTTTTATATTTAGTATTTTTTACCTTAACTAAAATCTATTTTCAGTATTTTTAAAAGAAGCTTTTATTTTTTTAATACTTCCCTGGGAGGGAAAAGAAAAAATATTTTAAATTCATAAGATTTGTTCCCTAGCATGACTTTAATGCATTTACCTGGATATGACGGGGGAAAATATTGGTCCAACGAGATAGCCCTTACCACAGAACTATAAATATATGCTACTGCAGTATGACAGGTGAGAAGTGAGGCAGCTAGCTTGGTGTACGCCTGTGACAGTCGCTCAGGCTTCTCTTCCTCACCTCCAGGCCACGTCGCGAGCGAGCTGGTGAGCCAGCATGAGGGCGCGCTGGGCAGAAGCAGGTCCCCAGCAGCGAGCTGAGCAAAATGATTTCCCCAGCTGTGGCACAGCAGCTTGTAGCCCTCTCCCTGGCGGGTTTCTGTCCTGGACTAGACGACTGTCAGCACTGACCTCGCTGTTAACTCTGTTCCAGGGATCTGCGCTGTCTGGGACGTGGCCTGGTGCTGGCACAGTGAGAGGATCTTACCCATCTCGTGGGTAAAGCTTTCTGTTACCGTTAGACACGTGGTTAGATTAGGTCTGGTTTTAAATAAGCCGGAATTTAGAAGGGCCCCTTGCCTGCCTGCGTGCAGTGGCCTGCGCTTCTACCCGTGCCCAGGATGGTGCCAGTGCAGAACCTGCCAGCAGGGACAGGCAGGGTCCAAGCGAGGCCTGGCCAGAGCTGCGCAAAGCGTCTGCACGCAGGGACACTGCAGATGCACGGCACAAGAGTTTTGGAAGCTCGGCGAGCGGCCAGCTGGAGGCCGGGGAGCGGTCTCCCCTGCCACTCTCTCTGTTCGTACGGCCAAGGGGAGCCGCAGCCCCGCGGCCCTGGTGGTGTCCCAGACCTTTTCCCCGGGCGTGTGCAGGTTTTAACGTTCATAGAAGAGGATGGGCCAGAGGGAAATTTTTGCTAACCATTTTTAAACACTACTTAGAACAACAGAGAGAGACAAAATTCAGGAGAATCTTGCAACAGTAGCAAATTTTCTACGTGGTTTCGCGCTTTTACAAACGTTCCACATTTTACCTAGCGCCGAGCTAGCGTTCATACTTCATCAGGGCATTCAGCTGGTGTGGCTTTCCAGCTGTCTGGGAGCTCCCCCAGCGCTCTGCAAGGATCGCTGTGAGATGCAGGTGTTGGGGAGGGTGCACTGAAATCAGGCTCGGCTCTCAGATAGGGATGTGCGTCTGTTCTGCATTAGAAGAGCTTGTTGTGTGAAGCTGAGCAAAGCAAAGGTGAGAAGACAGTGTGACTGCTGAACGTGAGTGCATAACTATGGTAAAACAAAAAGGAGAGGAGAGAACACGTTAAGCCACAAAGGTTAGCGATGGCCCAAAAACTAAGGAGAATGTGGAAATCACAAGGAAACTGCCTACTGGAGCAGTATTTCCCAGCCAGTGGTGTCAGAAGAAGAGCTCCGAGAGCAGCAGGGACAAGCAGAGGCTGGCCTGTGGAATCAGAAGCAGAGCTTCTGCAGCATGGTGCTGTGAGTTGTCTGATAGAAAAGCAGGTTATAAATGGGGGTTATTCAGGAGAACAGCTTGAGAAGGGCTGCATTCACAGTCATGTTCTGGAACATCCTTCCAGTGGGAATGGCAGGAACACCAAAAAAAAATTAAGTTCTGTCTTGGCAGGGTGGTAGCAAGGGCCTAGATTCAAAGGACCAACAACTTTTCATATGACCTCCTTTTCAAAATGTCTTTGGGAATAAATTCCATTTGACATGCCATAGGCCTACCCTTATTCCAGTCTTCCCTGCCAAACCGTGGGGCTTCACTTCCACCAGTGAACTGAGAAAGCCTGTTCTCTGGCTGGGCAAAGTGCTGGCACTGCCTAAAATTGTGCCAGGAATCACGCCCATAATTAGACAGTACAGACAACTGTGGGACTGTGCTCAAGCCCATGCCCTTGTTCTTTTTATTTTATGGGCATAGCTCTAGTATTTGAGTGCCTTTACTCATTACTGCCATATGTGTAGGAATTGTGTATGTGAAACACAAAAGTGATCCTTGACACATATGTTCCAGACTAAGATGCAAACTCTTTGTACACCCATTAAATAAGACTTTAGAGTGCAACTCTTCTTAGCAATAGCTATGCCTGTATGTGTTCTACAGGAGCAGTTCAACAGCAGCGAAAAAATGCTGAAAAACAAGAACTGTATTAAAAATAGGTAGAGATGTTTAGCACCCACAATCAGGCACTGTGCTCTTCTCAGCAGAGAATAGGGTGTTCTAAGTAAAGGACGGAGCAATTTCAGTCTCCCGCCAACACTTTTTTATTGCTACGACATAATTCTGCAGTAAAACCAGACCCAACAGCCAAGGGAAGCGATCACCAAAGCCATCTAGTGCCGTGCTAATTGCTGAACCATAGCAGTAGATCTGGAGCAGCACTTTTCTCTCTTCCCTGACTCCACATTTGCTCTGGCTCCCCAGTCCTTCAGCCGCCTGGTAGAAGCAGGTTTCAGTGACGCTCACAGGTGCTATTTTCAACAAGATTCTTCAACTTTTCAATAGCTACACAGCGGCAATGTCCCTTCTGTTCCAGTTACCAGGTGGTGTTTCTTTTAGACAGAATCGGTAATTAAAAAAGAATCTCCTTGTGCACCTCCTTGCTTGCCCTTAGTTTTGCGTACACCTGTGTTGCCTTCTCTGTGCCAAATTCGAAAACCAGGCTTTGTGCATATTTCTGTGTAGGCTGTGCCTGCACTCCAGGTTTTTTTCAGCCTATTAGTCAACAATGGTAAATGTTAGAGTAACCTTTCTCTGTTGTTTCTGTCCTAAAGCACACCAAAAAATGTGAATGTCCTGTCTGCAAAATACTGAAATTTGGTGCTATGTGTACAGAGCCTTTTACATGAAATCCTAAACTGTAGGATTTGAGCATCTTCTGCGAGGGGGATGTTATCCAACATCATAACTCTTACGTGGCTTTTACACTCTATGCTTGTTTTGTTGAATAAGAAGAAAATAACTGTGCCGTGCTACTTTTCACAGGTTCATTCACTGTCTCCGAGAAGCGTGTTTTATTATGCATATAATTCTCTCTGCTATTACGTATTAGGCCAACTTTAATATGGATAATAAAGAGAAAACATTTTGGTTTGGTCTTTTAGCCAACAAACTTGGGGCACTTATCTGACTCACAACTGAAGACGCATCAGTTGTCAAATAACGTGTATGAATCATAACCCACAGCGTTTGGTTTAAAAGGCCACATAAACTAATTACGTTCCATGTATAAGACACAGATGAATAATGAGGAAAGTTATTCTAAGAACTTTGTTTTATAGAACCACTTCACTAGTATTTTTCATATACGGTAGTTTCAGGAATAGAGTGATTTTTATATACAATGTGAATTAGAAGATACTAGACTATTAGAGTGATTTTGTTGTGTTATGCTGGAAGCTTGAATTGATCACAAGCTTAGGAACCTAGCATATTTATTTTATTGCTGCAAAAGTGCTTATAAATATAAAGATCTTTTTTGATGTTAACAGGATTTCACCCTTCTCTTAACGCGTAAATGATTTTCTTGAAATTAGTGTATTAGAAAAAAAAAAGTTTTCCGAACTGCAGTTGTGTGGGAAAATTTAAGAAATACATTTTTACTTTCACAGAGAATAATAACATGTTATACACAGAAATCTTCAGTAACTGACTGTTAATAAGCTATCAACTTATTTCTTTTTGATTACTAAGTATTGGAATATACAGATTACTTTCCATGAGGAAGAAATTCAGAAACAATCTCTAAAATAAAGTAAATGGGATTTTATATTTTTAACCTTCCAAGTTTCATTTTCATATCCACTTTTTTGGTGCAAGTACAGTTCAGGTATGCAAAAAACACGACTACAGTTTTAGCAGTCTAACAGGCTGTACAACTCAAATATCATATTATTTGTGAGCTATTTATTTTATCTCTTTATTTGCAAATTGTGAGATAATGGCTGTAATATGGACCAGACTCTGTAACCATCAAATCCCCATCATTTATGTAAAACAATCAGAAGCTTTCTCATCAATTTGAACGAACTAGGCCATTAAAAGAAGAAAGATGTGGACATATGAACTGACAAATATACTTTTGTCAAGTGTTATTTCTTCCCTTCACTTTGAAGCTTAGCAAGTATTGCATCCTCATGTGCAATATAAGCACGATATAAGAACCATCAAAAGCACTTAGGAGTAGTGTGCGCAGATGGTACAAAAAATGGGTCATTAGATTCTTGCAGAAACCAGGTAAAAAATCAGTCTTTTAGC